ATATAGGGATCCCAGCCCTACTATTCCTGAGCCTTTCATGCACAAAGCAGGTGTAACTGAATATTGGCACTGCAGTTATCGAATGCTAGAAATACATTTCCGATAAAATAATTATGTGTTATCATTTTATACAGAATGGAAAAGACAGTGAAGAACATTTTATTGAGCCACAACCTTTTTTCTTTTCCTACTAGAATTAGTTGGTTTGGATTAATATAATTCAACATTTTAGGCCAGATAATAATTGGTATGTAGGTATGCTACTGCATTTAAACATATATATATATACATAAATATATATACATACCAAAAAAAACGATTTATTTTTTTGGGGGTGGGGGAGGCCGGTTAAGCCTAATACAAGCCTAATACAAGCGCCGTAGATGTGTCGGAGAAGCGGCGTAGGTGAATGGGCTCGGTGCGGGATTCTGGCGCAGCAGGCTTCGTGCATTGGCGTAGCGCACGTTGAGCCCTCCAGGTGCGAGCTCTGTGGTCAGTAATCAATGAGCGCTGTAATAAAAGATTGTGGCGGAGTCAATTTGCTGGTCAATTAAGCAGGTCCTGCCATTTGGAAGCCTCTGCATTGATTTAATATCCAGCCGGGAGATTATAGGCAGCCTTTTGTTAATTGGCAAACACCTTGACCTCCGTTTCCTCGCATTCATAAGCTGTGCAAGGTTACCGGACCAAAAATAGAGGACGTGGAGCGCCTATTGTAGTCGAGCTATATCCTCTTCTTTCTGCCGGCAGACAGCTCTGCTCTTATCCTGATCCTCCACACCACCGGATCCTTTATTACCGCTTTTTCAGGTTAAAGGAAACCTGTCATGTGAAAAACCTGACCTATCCTTGAGAAAATTCTTCGTTCATGGCAGTCATGCTCACCCCCCGGCTGCAATACCTTCTAGGTCACTGATCCAAAGCAAGCATGCAGCCAGTGAAGTCACAGCTGGGCCAGGGTTGGTGATTCACAATGATCGTGCCAGTAACCAGTGGCGTCTCAAGGGGGGTGTGGGGGGTGCGGCCCGCACCCGGGTGACACCATTGCAGGGGTGACTGACAGTAATTTTGGTGTCACCCTCTAAAAAGTCGGGCACTCGGTCATGGACCGAGAGCCCGACAGTGTCAGGAGAGAGGAGGGGACCCGGCAGCATACTTCATCCCGCTGGGTGAACGTCCCTTCCTCTCTCTACTGGCGTCCATAAACAAGATGGCCGATCGGCAGGCGTCAATCAGATGGCCGCGCATGCACGCGCGAGGTGACATCACATGCATGCGTGATAATGACACAGCAGGGTGTCACCCGGTCTGGAGATCGGGTAACACCCGGCCTCGGGACGTCCCTGCCAGTAACACACTTCCTGTCCTAGGGTGGCAACGCTCACTTACTGTATCTATGA